AACGTGCTTCTGTAAATCGCCATGTAACCATATAACAAACATATTATATGCTTTGCAAGCTCTTGTGGGCCACATCAAATGAAGTCAAGGGCTGGATTTGGCCCCCGGGCCTTGAGTTTGACACCCCTGCCCTAAAGCATTTCAAATGTACAGTAAGGGAGGAGGGGACAACATACACAGTCCTCTTACTATGCAAACAATGATTACATATGAGGCTTTAGTAGGAGTTGTTTGTCCAATCAGGTGGGTATTTTACAAAGTTGCTGGACCTTAGTTCTGTATTTACCCTTTTTGTTCCTGTTAAGGTAAACGAAAGGAAAGTAAGTTTTGCACCAAATGAACCACAATGTGACCAACTTTGAATCTTTGAGCCTTTTTTAAGACATATATAATTTGCATTTACATCGGATAGCATTAAAGGAGCTCTTCACAGCCAGTATGGAACTTAGAAAATATTATTCTTCAATGCACATATTGACTAGGGAGGACTGTACGATGATAGCCTTTCAAAACAAATGCACATAATGTTTTAAAAGATAGAAGCTTGATTCTTTGTTATTTACACAGGAACAGACTCTTGAAGAAGTGAGACTCACAGTGACAAACATGGACAACTCACTAGCGTAAGTATTGTTGTCTCTTTCTGCATTGGTTTTAAATACAACTAAACAAGTCCCTTTTATTTAGCTGATATTGAACATGTGATGTTGGCGCAGTCAGCTGCAGGGGGCGCTAAACAGTCGTGAGAGGGAGATAACCAGCCTGAGGAGACAGCTGGATGCCTGTCAGGAGGAGCTGGATGGACTCAGGAGAAACAAAGAAACCACGATCAGAGAGAACAGGAGGCTGCAGGAGGACCTGGCTACAATGACCAGAGAGAACCAAGTATGTAGGAAAACACACTGACGTTGTTTTGGATACAAAGAAAAGAAAGAAATAACAGCAGCCGATGTTGCGTTTGTGCAGGCTGTACATATGGAGATGGAGGAGGCTCTGCATGAGAAAGATGAGCTGAAGATAAGAGTCCACTCTTACATCTCTGAGGTGTCCAGAATAGAAAAGCTGATGGCTGCAAAGGTAACAGCAACACTCCTGTAGCAGATTCTTATAGTGACATCGTATACACCTTCTTCTGTCTGCTAATTGAATGTGATTGGTGGACCTTCAGGAGCAGGAGAACAGGGACCTGCTGGATCGCTTCAGGATGGCCCACTCTGACGTGGAGGAGCGGGAGCAGAAGCTGCAGCATGCTGAAGGCCAAAACAACTCCATCCGCCTGGAGCTGCTCTCCTCGGACACAGAGCGCAGACACCTCCGAGAAACTGTCGGCCACCAGGGGAGAGAAATCCAGCAGGTGAGATATAGCATGCGTAATAACAACAGCCATTCAAGGTCAACTTAAAGGGAAGAAGAGGTATGCTACAGTTTCTATGTATATATGGAATCGAGACACATATGTGACCTGCTCCATCGAAATCAGTCGCATTGACCCGAAGACACATTTTGAGTCGTATACACTGCTGGAAAGAGGAGATTCCTAGCTTTCTAATGATATCAGGATTGTTTTTGTATGTTTGTCACATTATATAATGACTGTCATCATGTTGAGAAAAAGGCCTTCAAAGTTTCCTCTTCTCTGGAATCCATCGATCTGATTGATTATTAGCAAATGATCAAAATACTACGGAGGGAAGATATTTTTGTTTGGATTACTGGTCTGGGGCAAGTGTGTGTGTGTGTGTGTGTGTGTGTGTGTGTGTGTGTGTGTGTGTGTGTGTGTGTGTGTGTGTGTGTGTGTGTGTGTGTGTGTGTGTGTGTGTGTGTGTGCTTAATTTTGCATTTGTGTGTATTGTTTGTTTCCCGCGAGAAACACCGGCTGTTGTTCTGCCTGCTGTTACGTCAAGTTACTCCATTCTCCGCTTGTATCTATGCCGTGTTATCTATGATTACTATACATCTTACATTCATAATTTCAGCGGAGGGAGGGGGAGCAGCGCTGCGGAACAGCAGAGTGGCGAGTGACAGCTGTCATCTTCCCTTTACAAGCTTCAAAAATATATTTATCGTGTGATTTTGGAAATAAAAGTTTCATATTCTGAAAGCCAAGACTTTGTTTGTTTAAAATCAAACAAAACACCCGAACCCCGAAAAACTATTTTTTTCCACAAATCCACGTTTATTTTGAAATGAGCCGTTGCGACTTCCGACTGATTTAGATAGAGCGGGTCACATATTTTCTTTGCGGTGTTGTATACACGTCATAAGAATGTTCCTATACATGAATTATATCAGAAGAAAAGTGGAATATAATTAGGCAGGCAAGCCAAGTGTGGTTAAAGCGCCGGGTGATGGGAGTGGCTCGGCCGGAGACCAGACGGCTGATCAGAATCAGGTAATAAGCCACTGAATGAAAGCATGTTGGTAACCTGGTTCTGGTCTCTCTTGCAGTAGACTGGGTCCTGGGAGGACTTCTGGGCCGCGGAACACACCTGATTAGGCCACTACACCGCTTCGTGCCCTTTTTGGAGCTGGCTGTTATTTTTGTTTTGTTGGACAATAAACTTAAGTTATTCCCTGAATCCGTCTCCTTCTGTCCTTTCCTTGTTCGGAGGCCACAGTAAGCACCTCCGCTCACACCCAGGTTCAAAAGGACAGGAGAACGAGCCGAGCCACTCCCATCACTCCAGCAGCCGGCGCTCTAACCACACCCCGCTCCCACACTAAGATATTATGCTAGGTAGTAAACAAATCAGTGGTGGTAGTCTTCATGCCACCACAGAATCAGGAACAAATGTTAAGATGAATGTTCCTTTCCATCTGCCGTTTCCCCAGCACACGCAGGCCCTGCAGGCTTACGAGGCCCAAGTGTCGTCGCTGGTGCGAGGGATGTCCCGACTAGAGGAGGAGCTGCTCTCAGCAAAGGAGGAGAAGGCCGCGCTCCTCTCTGACCTGGCATCCGTCAGGGAGCTGTGTGTCAAACTGGACTCTGGCAAGGAGCTCACTGCCCGCCAGCTCACCTCCCGGAGCATGGACCTGGAGAGGGTGAGGCCCGCTGCGGGTTTATTGTTGCATCCAGGTGTAGGTTATCTGTGAAGGTGAGCAGTAGCAGATTTCTGAAAATAAACCTGTATGTTTTCTAGATCACAGGAGAACTGGAGGACGTTAAGTCGGACGCAGAGGTCCTGAGGAAACAGATGGCCAGTGAGAGGCTGACTGTCCGTAACCTTGAGACCCTTCTCTCCAGCAATCGGCATAAGGAGTTCCAAACCCACCTGACAGCCAGTGAGAGGGAGTCAGATATAAAGGTCCTGCGCGACAGGCTGACTCTGGCTGACTGCAAAACGTAAACAAGTCCTTTTGAATATGTTGACTTGAACTCCAAGACTTGAATCAATGCCTCTTTTATTTTACAAGCTGTTGATTCTGATTTGTTTTGGTGTGCGTGTGCCCTCAGCGCGGAGCATGCCAGGGAGGTGGCGCAGCTCCGCAGCAAAGTCTCTCAGCTGCAGACGGAGATGGACGTTCTGAAAAGACAGTTGACCTCTGAGCGCTTTGAACGGTGAGCTGACTTTTCAACTGCCAGCACTTCAACATTTAATGGAGAGTACCCAAAGCTGGAAGTTAGAAACAAATTAGATCTGTCATCAGGGTTTTTACATTAGCTTTTTGACTAAGTGTATTTCAGTAAATAATGGATTCTATAGACTTGCTATTACATAAATAGCATAACTGATGTGACAACGTTTTTTTTTACTTTGAGTAGGCTGCACAGACACATTTTTTACACTTGATCTCTGAGCGAGCATATAAGGATATTATCAGGATGTTGGGGACACTACTGAAAGTTTTCCATTATCTGTGAAACAGCAAAAAGTGTCCTCTTGGAAACTGAACATTTCTTGATACAAGTTCGGTGACAATAAAACAGGTATACTACTTTTGGGAGTATCTGGCGATAAAAGTGAAACTAATAATGATGTCCGAGCCTGAGGCGAAGTTTTCAAATTGTTGTCTGACTTGTTTGAGGTCAGAAGAATGTAACCACAAGCCTAGGCACATATTAAACATGTAAAGATTGCCTAACTGTGGCTGTGTCCACAGAGAGCGGGCGGTTCAGGAGATGCGCCGGCAGGGTTTGTCGTTCTCCTCCCTCGACGTCTCCTCCAGCTCTCACCACACCTCTCCAGAGCGCTCCATCCTGCGGAGTCTAAGCCGCTCCACCGACAAGTCAGCAGACAAGTGAGTCTTGAAAATGATATGGCTTTTAATAGGGCTCATTGTTTTGTGTTAGGTTCTGGTAATAAGCTGGTGTTTTTCCATGTTAGACAGGAAGCAATGCTCTTTGATTACAAAAAAAGAAAGATGAGCCGTAACAAATCTTTAAAAAAAAACCTCTTCCTTATTTCACCATTTCTCTTTCTTTCTCTTTCCAGAAGTGTGAGCTTCAAAGATTCTGCCACAACTACAGAGACAGACAAATAAACAACTTGATGAGTGAGTTAGAAACCACTTGAAGCTGTGAATGAATTGTGAAGGTCTTTGTAAGTAGCGGCTTTACAGTGAGTGTTCAATTTAACATAAACTAGTAACAGTGATAACATTCAAACAGTATGTTTACTTTTTTCTATGGAAATATCCAACCACCGATTGACTCCACTTCCAAGTCATCTCTGTCAGTACGTTACACAGTCATTGGTCAAAATGTGGATTTAGCTTCAAAACTGTTTTCCTGAAATCAATTTGGTTGTCAACGTCACACATGTAGCAAAATACGTTTTTGTTCAACCCTGTGGTTATGTGTATTATGCTTTAATATTCATGTTTTTTTTAACAATGTTTAAATTATTAAATTATTCCTCAAATAAAGAAATACAAAATCACAGAAATGTGCAGTAATGTACATCACTAAACTTCAATTTCTGTTTAATAACAGGGTAAACAGTCCAACGTGTTGGTAAAGATGGGGGACAGATTGTCGACGTAGAACGAAAACACAAAAACTTGATTTAAACCCAAGACTCGGTGAGCCAATAGTTTATGTTTTAGCCAGCTAAACCACTGAAGGGCCGCAGAAGCTGTTAACCCTTTAGCTTCTCCAATAGTGTAGAAGAAGAAAAAGCTAAGTTTGGTCTGGCAACCTTATTTACAACTGCATCAATATATACTGAATTGGTTAATTTACTGTAACAGTGCACGACAGGAACATGTTGAAATGGAACAAAGTCGGTTCATATGTTTGTTTGTCTTCAGCTAATTTCAAGCTTTAGTGGTTCTGAAGTTAAGACCAACCATCTGCATACTGCGATGATATTAGAACATCTCAAGTCAAAATGTGTAACGACTATTAAAATACAGTTTCTTCCTTAGTAATACAAATAGTAAAAAATAATGCTCTATAAAAAGTTCTCTCAAAACTATGAAACATTGCACATTTAATGCCGGCAGTGTTCAGTGGTTGTGTTGGGGAGATGATAAGCAAAGAGGGAAAAGTCTAAAATGTATTTGGGCAGGAGTTCCCTCAGTAGCTTATGTGGTAACGTGCACAGATAATAATGTAACGTCTCCGTGGTGACCGGCTTGTACCACGTTTGCCTCTCAGGGAAGCGAACATGAGGAGGCGCTCCAATGCGCTGGAGCACAAACTCAGAATCCCTTTCAAGGTGCTCATAGGAGCCGATGAAGTCATAGGACACGGCGCAGGGTTGGCATAAGTTGTACACCGGCATCCAGTGCTCATTCATGCGCTCTGCGTCCGTGTCCAGCAAGTAACGGACAAACTCTGCAAACGTCACATCATCTCCTTTAACCGTCGCGTCCTTAGCGCGAGTTTTCCTGTACCGCTTTACGATCTCCACGCCGTACTTTTTCTGGTAGGACTTGATCTCTCCAAATTTGTTCCTGTATGCAGAAAGCAAGCGCTCCATTGGCTCCCGCACAAACATGAACTTGAAGTAGTGCTTGAGGCGATATTGGATCTGCTCGGGTTTAAAAGAGGACAAAAACTGCAGGTCGCTGCGGTGGTCCATCTTGATGCTGACGTCCACGCTCTCCAGAACCCCGTTCAGAACCTTCAGGACCCTCTTCCAGTTGGAGCAGGCCACCTTGGGGACGTAGCAGTACAGGAAGTGGTACTGATCGTTCACCAGGATGTGCTGCAGCAGCGTCTTCCTCTGCAGGGGGGTGAGGGACATGATGCTGTGCGGCATGTTCTTCTGGCTGCACATAGACCTGATGGTCCGGTTACGGATCTCTTGAAGGATCTAAGCGTGAACACAAAACAGTGACGATTTGACAGATCAACAGCAGTTAACTAGTTAGAGTTTGTATTATTCAGCCTGTCCAAAGAGCTGTATAACATCAAGACATCTGAGAAAATCCCCCTGATTGTTTCATCGTGATTTCATCAAGGTTATCTAATTGTGGGTTTTTAAATGTAAAATGTTATAATACAAAGCCTGCATACAAGCTTATGATGTGGCATTTATAAGATATGGACTATAAAGTTGAATCATGGGGGAAAAAACTGAATATCTTGGACTCTGCTGCCCCTCTTTAAAGTGACCAGATGTTTGAAAACGGCCAGACTAGTTAAAAAACAATATAACAACTTCTTTACCCATGTAAGATGAGATCAGCGGTTTCACCAGACCAAATTGTTGCCTTTTGGTCCAGCTTTTATGGCATGCAGGATTTTTTAAGATCACCATAAAAAGCACATGTGTTTTTTGATTAGAACAATAACAAACCAGAACGTTTTCGCAAAGTGTCTTATGGTTTTCCCTTTGATCACCAACTGAAATTTTTTTTTTCCCACCATGGCATCACAAACAAAAGCTGTGTTGAACCTTAATCCCACAGTGATATTGTGCAATGTACAGTCACAAGATGAATCAAATCGCCTCAGGCAACACTAGACCTATTCACACGCCACACACTCAACCCAACAAACTTGGAAAAGGTGAAAAAAGTGGCTCAATTAATACAAAATAAAATAATTTTAAAAAACTGGTAGCGCTTGTGGGTTATCTTTCCCCACTTTTTAATAGCGGGAAGCTGGCTCCTCCACATGAACTTTTTCTCAAAATAACAAACATTAATACTAGGGGTTAGGGTTATTTAGAGAGACTGAAAAAAACAAAAAAGGTGCGTATTTAGAGTCTGATAAAAACAAAAAAAGTGGCGACAGATAACCCACAAGTACCAACACACTATATTCAATCAGCTGAACACTTCATATGGCAGTTATGTAAGTCTGCGAATTAAGGAAAGCTAGCACTGAATTTTAAACCGGTAACTAAAAAAAAAACACTTCAATATATTGATGAGTTTTGTGTATTTTTAGCATGCAATAGAAATCGATGGAGGGGTACTTGAATGCTGTGAGGGTGCCTCTGTCCATAAACCTAGGGAGCCACTGTATTACATGACTGTACCTGCGAGTCCACGTCCTCAGCACCCGGGCTGAGCCTCCCGACCTGCCGCATGAAGTCCTGCCGTTTCCCGGTCCCCCGCGGTGGAGGTGTCTCCATGCTGCTCAGCATTCCTTTCTCTATCATAAGCAGCAGGCCTCCGGAGGCTACGATCACCAGGAAGGTAAGGACCGAAGGAAGCACCGCGGAGCTCCGGCGGACCGAGCCCGGGATCACCGTGGTCCTAAAGTTTATAACCGGGCTGTTTCGCGGTCCTCCAGACTTCTTCATCCCGAAGTCCTGCCTGCAAGGTAGCATAGTGTGTCCGGCTGGTGTGTTCAATACCTCGTAGTCCTTTAAAGTCGACGGATAACTAATGTTACTACGTGAGAAAACAAACCCTTGGTCACCTACCACGTACCCATAGTTAATTTAAAACTGGTAAAGTTTGAGAGTAAAGAAATAGCAATTTCCGTATGACCTTTCAAAATAAAATCGTGTTGAAGAGCATTTTCTTTGGTTAACACAAATCCCCAAAGACAAAGATTGCTTAACAATTTGTCTAGAAAACGTTGCGTGTCTGCTTCCCACAAGATTTCGTTTTATAATTGTATCTTTAACTTTGGAAACTAATGCCAAGCTAACCAGAACCATCATTTGAAGACGTCCTGTTAAAAGTTTCAAAATAAAATCCTCCCAAGGTTCATTGCCCCCTGTATTTGAATCCTTTGTTCCCTTCCTGGAACCGTTTATTTATCTTCAGTAACATGAAATGTGCACCAAATAAATAAAGGAAATACCTAACTCTTTGCATGTGTTAAAAAGGTCTCATCACAGTTTTCTGTTGTCATGCCTGCATGTTATAGCCTGCAAGCAAGGGCTAGTCGCCTAAACTTATAGCCTACCTCAGTTTTTTATTGAGAAGCTAAACCAAACTTTCAGGTTTGGAAATTACCCACCATACTGATAATATTCAGATGTTTTCAAACGATTCAGTCAGACCTTTCATGAAGAGATTTCTAAATTAGGAAGACTGCTTTGTTATAGAACTTGGGTCTGCAACACAAATGTTTACCAATCTTTATTTAATCTTTTGTTCTTTATAATGTCAGCCAGAGAGGGAAGCGCGGTTTACATCTCCTGTTTTGTTCAACCAATAGTTCATAATCAGTTCAGCAGCCCCTGCAGTTGAAAATTATATAAATGATAAAAAAGTTACCCAAATGACATTCTCAGTTGACAAATAGAATAGTTATGCTCGATGAATGTTGTATTGATCGGTTAAACGACTAATGTGGCAGCTTTTAATATCTCTAATGGATGAAGACAACAAGACCTAAATGGAGATTCTTCTCCAGTAATTATTCATTTATATTCAATCTCTACATTAAAAACATGAATTATTAAGAACACTATACTCAGGTCAGCCAGTTGGTATGAATTAATGTCCTCTTTGTTTGTTTTACAGTATATCCTCAGCTGCAACACAGTTGGATCTTTCTCATTCATCTCCTCCTTTCTTTAATTACTTCCGAAAAGCACGAGCTTACGTTAGAGTAGCGTGCTTGCATCGTGACGGGAGCTCACTGAGTCTCTGTGCCGCCGACCCTCGCGTTTCTCTCGCAGCCACACCCTCCCTTCTCCATCGGGACTGACGGTGCGTGCGTCTCCCTGTCGGGCACCCGCAGCATCAGCAACACAAAAGGGTTGGAGCTGCCGGAGCTTTACCTCAGCGCCGATCACAAGGAGGCATCGCGTTGGGAAAAAAAGGTGCTGGGATTTCTCCCTCTTTTCTTCCATATTGTTTGTCTTTTATGCTGATTGTCTTCCATTTTCACGACGCTGATGACCTTGTCACATATCGCACCTCTCATCTCGCATTGACCCGATCGCATCTTCTGCTCCATCCTTCACAGATGTGTGTATGTGTGCGCGCAGTAAAGGGCTGGGACTTTCAATTTCATCCGATTTGAAATGCGAAAACGCCGATGTCAACAAGCCAAAATTGTAATTAATCGTTAGTAAATAATGCACATCAATTGAAGGCTGTATGGATTTCATATGTGTCAATATGATAAGGCAAAGGCCAGATTCTTTGTTCTCAGTGCGTCTTTTATTCTGCAATTAATACTGTGTAATCCCTGTGCGGCATGCATACACTAATCTGCCATTAACGGTTACGTATTGATCCGTGCCTTTAGGTCCATGTTGATGTTCCACAACAGCGAACCGTGGCTTTCTCCAAATGACACACAATACAGCCTTAGAAATGACAGGATATCTGTGTCAGCTGGAGAACCATGCACAGGCCATATGCTGCGGGCCTGGATGTGCGAAAAATGATATTATGGCTTTATATTTCCACGGGCAATGTGAAGGCTTTTAAATCATTGCTGCATTACTGTCATCATCAGTGGACTCTTGTGCTGAGACATACAGGCAGGGGGAATAGATGGCAGTTTGCCAGAAATGAATTCATAGGCTGCTGATGTTGGATTTATGGTGCTGGTTTGAGTCAATTGATCTGTTTCATTTTTTGATTGTCTGCCCTACAGGCAAGAATGTGGTATTTTAGCTATAATCTGTGATCTTTCTAGGTTTATGTGCTGATGGAAGACATATTAAGACACAGAGCTGTCATCCGGGTCTGTATTTTGCAGTATAAATAGGGAAGAGATCTTATAGTAAAGACTACGTCACTGGTTCAAGAGTAGTGTTTTATAAAGTACTGCAATGTCCAGCTTCATATTCATCCTGAAGGTTTAGATTCTCAGATGCACTGAGCTGCAAAGTAAGTATGTCATCACCACCCAGACGGGGTGGTGATGACTTTGATGATCACTTTTTCAGAAACATCTGTGTGCTTTCGCAATGCATACAGCATCTATTTTACTTGAGTCATTTAACACCCTTTGACCTCAGATAAAGCTGCAACTATGGATTTGATTTAATCACCACGAGGCAGGCAAACACTGCCTGATTCATTGTTTTCTGTGTGTTTAAATGTCAATTGATTTTCAATAGCCGCATATTTGACAACAGGAATGGAAACTCCCGGCTTGTTAAAAATAAAACACTTACATTCAAAATTAAATGGAACTGAAATGTACTTTGTACAAAAAGTACAAGTGCTCATGTTGTGATGCATTGGCTTATCATTCAAAACATGTTTTACATAGGAGCAACTATAAGCTAAAATAAATAAATGTAATGATTAAATGCTCACATCTATGTGTAATGATCTTATTGTTAAACACAATTTCTTAGGTATCCCATATTTATACTATATAGATTATTTTTATTTAATACAATTTCAGTTATCTCTGCTCTTAATAATGCTCTATGCAGTATGTATTCCATTAAAATCGATGCTGATATCAATTATGTCTTTACGGCACATACCGTAGGTCACCCACATTATTCCAGTGTTTATCGTAAATAACCAGGAATTGGATCAAACCAGCAATACTGTCATGATTGCCTTTGAACGTGGTGTATGTTTCTATTTAACGTCACTGCAAAATGAAAACCCTCTACATTTAACCATGAAATAATTAAAAACTATTTATGGTATGAAATATGTGAACATATTATGACCTTAATATTCTAGATGGTTTACCATATAGTGCTAGTGCTGTGGCTGCTATAGTGTCATTGAGCATAGCAGGAATTGTTTGCTCTTGAAGTGAAGTCATTATGACTCGCTTATCCTATGTGTGAATATATATGGATGTGAATATCTTAGTGAGAGTTCGTTTATGCTGCTTATACTGGGGGTTTCTATTTCTGCACACAGTCACAGTCAGAGGAGCATACAGTCTGTCTTTGAAGTGCGATGCTGCTGTAATATAGGCAGCTTCCAGGTTAGTGAAGCCCCATCATTACCATATCCCTTTGAGGCTGCAGTGTGAATCTGCCAAAACTAGGGAGTGGGGGAGCTGTCCTTATTACACATTAACACTACGCTGATGCACACATCCAATAAGAAAAATTAAGATGATATTAAGGCGGCCACAGTCAAGGAACTAAGCTATTTTGACTTAATGTTGAATGCTGTAAAATACTAATCACTGTAAGACAATGACATACATTTATGACCCTTGTATTATTAAGCAGTTGTGGCGCGCCGTTAAAGAATATTGTAATCACACATGTGCATACGCGGTTACTGTTAACCCACAATGAAAGCCTCTGTGCATCAGCCAGAGGAAATGATGAATGCCAGTCTGTTCTTCTGCACTGACTATCTGGAGGGGGAAACAAAGTGTCACTTTGTGCCTCCTCAGCACAGCAGCACTTACTAACAGACACAGGAGAATGTCCATCTCTCCTCGCTCAGCGCTCACTCTGCCTCGCTGACACACCTCCTCCCTTCTGACAGTACATGTGCTTCACTCCAACACGCGTCATGAACCCACACCGTCACCCCTTCTCCAGAGAATGCGTCTTTTAGAACGGCAATCAAATTATAATCAATATGAGAATTTTTCCCTGTCACTTTCTTGCACGCCCACACACAAACACACACACACACACACATACACACTTGCTCACACACACAACTTTTGCCTTCACTGCATCTGACACCTGACTCCAGGTAATGCCCTAGATCCACAGTGACAGCAGGCAGGTGCAACGACTCATAGATACCCCCGCACACAGAGCGCCTGCATAACGGTAAGAAGGCATTCTCATACAGAAAGTTACAAAAAATGTTAGGTAAAGCTCTCTGATGTAGGTTGACTTTAAATATAGCTGCCATTGATTCTTTGTGTATTTTTGACTGTGTGCATAACCCTTATATGCAGCTCATGTCGTACTGTGTGATTCAGTGAAGTGTAAATATATATCTGCACTTGTGATATTCATAGTTGACATCAACCAAAAATGTATAAGCTACAGTGTTAGAGATGCTCAGGTATGAGACGACAGCCGTTCCTGTTTGTTTGTTTGCACGCTTGAGTATTGTCTCTTAACAATTGGCTAATGTGGAAAATATAACCATGGTCATGTGATACATGGTGCGTGTCACTCTGAAATCCATTGTTTCTCCAAATGCGCCCTGTGGAGATCTACAGAGTGGACAAATGCCAAGAACACCTCACAGCAAAAATAAAACATTATATAATTGATGGAGGTAGTGTTTATTGCAGCACTGTTGGACTGGGTCGTGTGCAGTCCTGTATTGCACTCAAAGCTAGTACTGCTGGTTGTTTAGTATCTATTAACAGGTTTTAACCCACATTTGGTGGGATGGCTTAAGGATTGGCAATGTTTGTTAGTCAAGTGGTCTACTGCTTTGGTGCAGACTGAAAAATGTCAACAACTAGAGGATGGATTACCATGCAATAGTTCCATGTTTTCTGGAAGATGCATCCTACTGACGTTGGTGATGCCCTGACTTTCTCCGTAGAACCATCAGCGGGTCCACATTTTGTTATGTCAATGAGATATGTAAAGTTGTTGGGGTATACATACTTTTTCAGACCTCCCCACCTAGAACAAATTCATAGCTTTGCATTTAATTGTTCACATGGAAAGTTGTGTTAAGAAAGAAAAAGAGAAAGCATGAGAGAGAAACCCTGCTTACTTCCTGTCTTCCAAATAGCTGGTCAATATTGTTGAATGTCAGCTTCTGAAAGTAACAAAAATGATCGAGCATAGCCCCATTATTTGAAGTCGGTTCTGCAGCCACTTGACCATCCGACAGGCGGTTCTGATGAAACATGCTGACAGCTTTCATCTTGGTAATACTCTTTTCCTCAGCTCTAACTGAAGCCGGGTCCGACATGCTGAGCTGAACGTGTTCACTGACACACATGGGGCTTTGTTTTCAGCCATGCATGAACATTAGCTGTTGGCGCTTTGCTTATGTGTTTACTGTCTTTGTTCCCTTTACAATCTGAATCACGCAAAGGTGAAGGGATTTGAGTTATACAATATGTTGGTATTTTGGTTTAAATAGGCCTCTGATGTGATTCAAATAGATGCAGACCGAGTTTGTTTTCATCTCAATATCACCCAGTTGATAATTTGGAGATTCCAACGGCACGTGCAAAACCATAACGGCAATGTGCAACAATTATATAATAGAGTTAACAAAACACAACAGGAAGTAAATGCTAGCAAGAATGCCATTAGAGCAGTCTGTGATAAACAATGATAACATGGATGACTTTTAGAGTTCAACACCAAGCTGCTGAAGAAAATAACTCGTACATTACAGCCGACAGACTGCTTTTATATGTTGTTTTTGGTTTCACATGTAGCAGGTATGTGGAACATTTCAATTAAAAAGTAAAAAGAAAATTGAATGAAATGCAATGTGTATACAGTATGGGCTGTGTTACACATCTTGTATTTTTACATTAAAATCATTTAACTGCAGAGCTGTGTAGCATTTTCACAGTTCAGCCGAGGACATATTTCTCTGTTTGAATTGTTTTTTATTTAGGCATTTGAAATATTCCCTGGAGATAGACATTCTGTGGATGCTTTGGACTGAATCCAGATGATGCTATTTTTATGATAAAAAAAAAATCCTAACTTAAAAGTGGCAGCAGCTGTTGGAATCAAGGCCTTCTTTCTAATCTATCTGGATTTTGTTTTGTTCAAATAAGATATTTTTTCAGAAATAAGAACTCTCCTCATCCTTAAACAGGCTCCTGTGGCAACTACCAGCATGTCCTGACTTGCTTTACTTACTGTCAGCAGTAGTGACTGGCTGAGATTATGATTAATCCCCACACACACATCTGATATTTATTTTC